ATCTAAAGGCTTTATCTATAAATGTAGCGGTAGCGCTGTAGCGGCAAAACCTCGTATCGCTACTTAAATATGTAGCGGGCGCTACCGCTACCGCTACATTGCCTTAAATGTAGAGCCGCTACCGCTACCGCTACTGAAAATGTAGCGGCCGCTAGTAGCGGCCGCTACATGTAGCGCGCTACTGCCCACCTCTGCATACTAGCCTCATTACTAGGTAGTCCATACTCCATTGTGAATAGAATAGTGATAGGTACGGTACCTAGTCAGTCTAGTGGTAACTGGTGAAGCAGTTTTTTTAAACTTTTCTAAAATGTCATTTTATAGCCTAGCGCCTATAAGTAGACCAGTAAAGTATCATGGGTTATACATCTATGGATAATGGCTCAAGTGAGAACCTGACAACAGTCTCCACTCACTCACTCTCCAGAGAATTGTTCCAGAGTTGCAGTTGCCCCATCCCGGCGCCGGCCTCCGGAAAGGAATATCAACGAACCTACGTAGAGTCGTAGACTACTAGAGTCTGTCAGTAGAGTGTGAAGTTGGGCAAAGCTGGCTTCTAGCAAGCGCCTCGAAAATCTATGATCTATTGGAGTACATTTCTCTCTAATTCATAAAGACTTCGAAGTACTAGTAAGCAACAACCGCTCATGTGAAACAATATCAGACGGCTTGCTAAAATCGCGCTACACTCTACAGTCTACACTGCCCAGTGCCTTCACTGGCTAACTACCTCCCTTCCGTTCCGTCCAGCAGGCGAGTCCATTATTTCACAGTAGACAAGAGATTACATCATGATATTCCGGCAAAAAAACATTCTGACATATGTATATAGTTCAACCATGAAGCTGATAGTCTCTGATCGTGTATACACGGTGAATATTATTCCTGTACATTTCTGTAAATGATTACTTGCGCAAAAAGAAAAAAAGAAGTGAATCCAAATGTGTAATCGAAATTTCATTTTTGGCAGATTAGGAACTTTTTATTTGCATTAGTTATCCCGAGTAATCCTTGTGAAGAGGAATTATGAAAAAATTATGTTCAAACGTAATAAAATATTCAAATCGAATAATTTAATTAGAAATTGTCACTTTACGAGACATAATATTACATCATCTTCCAGAAATTTTAAAGAAAAACAGAAAAATGCAATAAAGGAATCATTAAATTAAATTTTAGAGACAAGAACGCCAAAAATTGGCATATTAATGACCTTGATGTTAAACATGTAAATTTCTCCTGTTCTAGATTGTTTCGTGCACTCGAGCATAAGTTTGTAATTCCATTTTATAGGGAGTCGCAGCAGGAGGGAAAGGGTTCTCTGCCCCGGTCAGATTAGCAGGGCTTCATCATTTCAGTGGACAGTCACAGCAGGACGGGAATGGTTCGCAGTAATGGTCAGTGCAGCAGGGCTCCGAGTATTTGTCGTGATCATTCGTGACAGATGGCATCCAGGTCATATCAACCATGTGCGCTTGGCGCCACGCAGTCATTTCGATCAGCGAAATTCTACAAAAAATCACAGAAACGAATATAGACCCCGAGCAAAAAACACGCTGATTTATTTAAATTTAACAATTTAGAATATTCCGACCCATTAAAACTTCAAAATATTTAATTAACGTTGTGAGCGATCAGTAAGAAAATTAAACTAAACAATAAAGGGAATGTTTGAAAGGATATTTCAACTGTAAAACAGATGAGTTAACTGCGCAATGGGCGTACTTGAAGCTAGTGTCGTTGGCGACGTTCCAGCGCTCGCCGGGATCAACAGACAAATCGTACAGGAGGGGCGGGTTGTGCTCGGTGAGAAGATGTCGGGAGGTGCAAATCTCGTCGTAGTTCTGGTCGTCAGATAACACTAGGAAACAAAATAGATAAGCACAAGGCGGTTTATCTTGAGCTGAATGTTATAAAAACAAAATTTAGAAGCGAATACGTTGACACGATCGCTGACATTTGCATATTTTATTGCATACAAAACCATCATTTATCATCCAATCAAATATTTTGTGTAGTAAACATCAATATTACAAGTCACGCGACCTAAATTATGCGGAGTGAAGAGATAGACCCGCGGCTGATGGACAAAACCTCTGCTACTCACGATCCCCAATTGTGAAGAAGTGAGCCTTCAAGTGTCTGTAGACCACGGCATGCGGTCCTGTTTCTTGCGAAGGGTCCATAGGGTACACGGCGAAATATTCCCTAGGTGACTAAGAGAAAAGCAAAGAAAACATATTAGAATGATTAATAATTAGGTTTACAAGTAGGTGATTACCTGAGTAGGTGATTAAAGGCGCAAAGAAATCGATTTTTTGCTAACGAGTTGATTACATTAAATATGGCACTGTGTGATTAACTTAGAACAGCGATTTTTGATTACTTTTTGTTTAACGATATAAATTGATGAGATAAGAATTTATGTAGAAGGTATTTGACATTGCCGTTAATTTTTGATCGATTCAACTTCCCCGATTTGAATGTATAAAATTGAGGTTTCTGCAATAATTTTTTTACAACAACATTGCACGTTATATATCAGATATATATATTTGTTACGATAAAGGTAAGGCAAACACGAATTTAGGCTTCTTTTCAGAGCGTTGTAGGCTTGGCTGCCTCCCTTGACCATGGTGCCAGCACGTTTTCTCGTAGCCTTCTTTCTTTCTTATTTATTCTTATAGGAGCACTGGAAACTAGTCCATAAAGCCCCTTGCCTAAACTGGGTTTGTTCTCGTAGCCTTCGTCGGGACATAAATTTTCATTGCGTTCGTGCCGAGTCGGTTTTTGAAATAAGAGTTCATTTGTTTACATTTGGGTGAGTAATTGATGTTATTCAATTCTCTGATATATGGATGTGGAATCGTAGGATGATATACGGATGTGGAATAGATTAAATCAATGGATATTAATTAAGCATTGATTGTTCGAGAGATTAGAATGAATTTAATGGAAATGAAGTCTCAAGTTAAATGCGATCGTATACGGCAGAAATATTAATACAAATTTTTAATCTGAAAGTCTTTCAATTCAATGCAACCTCTTAGTGTTATGATTTATTAATCTCATATTTAAACCATTTATACTGGATGAAACTGGTTTTTAATCCAATTATTGTTGCTTCTGTTTACCAGAAAAATTTCTAATGATCTGCTGTTTTTGTTATGTTGAACCAATAAACATCACCATCTGATTTATGTTTAAAAAAAATGATATTTAGAGGCCTTGGAAAACTTTTATTGTGCGAGCGAATCCGGATTTATAAGTGTCAGCGCAGAAAAATAGTTTTCGTTTGTGCAGTAGCCGATTCATGAAATGTTTTTTGGAGATCTAAAACTGACCAGATCCGTGGCTCTTGGGGCATGTTCTTGTTTCCAGTAATCCTTCAAGAATCTTTTATAAACTCTTAGTATGCTCGTTTAAATTAATGAGGTCGCATCGGAAAAGTCGATACTCGATAACAAAGACTCGGAAGCTTCATAAGCTATGATATTTTTTCATAAGAGTTGACCTTAAAGACTGGAATTATTCTCATTGCACGCTCATGGACATTCTAACACAAGTTTTCGTCTTTTTTAATTTTCGGTAACCAATCAGCATTACAAAGCTTCAGGTGCGGGCACTTGAGTGTGACAAACAATAGTTTAATAGATTCCGTATCAAAGTATTCATCATATGAGCGTCTGGTACGTCTAAGAAATAAATTTGCTCAATTAACGTGCTTTTAAATGCAAAAATTTTGACTCCTAAACGACAGTAACTCCCCAATTTTTTTCAATTGTCGACTTTTCATGCATCAGTCTTTCGTTGCAACCACGTCTTCTAACATTGCAAGCTTCCCGATCCTTGTCTCAGTCAAGGTGTCACGCATCAGCTCAGTCAACTATATAAACAAGATCGCATCTTTTCGCCTCAACTATCGCACTATCCCAAGTAAGGTCTTTTTCAGGAACGAGACCAGGGCTCATACTTTCAAAAAAGTGGTCTTTAAACTAACGTATCATCTCATGACTGACATCTCCATGTCGGTGTTTACGATACAGAAGCGACAAAATTTTAGTCTGTTCCTTCGTGATGAGGGAAGACACTATAACAGCAAACATATATATAACACGCTTAGACGAACAAATTGCGTATCATGTTAACATGCTCATTCTCTATAAGTTCTAATCTAGTAATGTGGACTTTGATTTTGCATGTTAAAAAGAAAACTTGCTGTTTCACTAATGATTAAATAATTCCCGACCTCGGATGTTTTGTCGAGCAGAAAATCTGAGGCGTCGAAGCCGTCGAGCTTGAGGCCGCTGGTGTCAGCGCCGGTGAGCGCAGCGATGGTCGGCAGAACTTCTAGCGAGCTCAGCAACTCGCCAGTGCGACCTGAGTCAATAATTTATTAAAATTCAAGAATTTCTTGGAGTTATCTGGGTAATAATTACACAGTGAAAAATATTTTTAAAGCTTTTGGCAAATGAAAAAATTCGAATCGGCTAAAAGAAATACGGTTAAAGATGACGGTTAGTTGACGGTAACTAACTAGGGCCGATGTGCCCCGGCCACCTGACGAAGGCGGGAACCCTCACGCCGCCCTCCCAGGCCGTGCCCTTGCCGCACCGCAGCGCCCCTGCGCAACCGCCCCCTTCATGACGGCGTAAACTCGGCCTGTGAAAGCAATGTTTTGATTGAAGGTTTAAAACAATTCGGAAATATTACGAATCAAGTGCAGCCGCTCCACAATGTCGATTTAGAAATTTTATGTAGGCTTGACTATATATTTTTTCAGGCAGTGTAATCACAATCTAAATCCATCAAATGAATAGCAGTGTACACATTTGCTTCAAGTCTATGACGTGACACCCCGTAATTACGTACTTGCCGTTTTCTTATAATTAGAGTAGGTTTGTTTACCATAGAATAGAATAGAAGTGTCGGCACTCAAGAAATAGGCCCATGGCCTGTTGCCTATAGTACACACTAGAACAATTTTGACGCTAGTAGCTCACGAGCAGCAGCTTGAATTAGATTTATGAAGTCAACAAGTATTCAAATACAAATCTAGGATCAAAACACCTATTTATCCTTTTGGCAATGATAAACAGCGCTGCAAGGAAAATCATGGTGAACTTGCAAGGCTAGCACCATTCAAAGAGTAATTAGAATTTTCAAAGAACATTGCATGCTCGATGTAAATAATTTAATATATTTCTTTTTTTACGATGTAATAGTTTTAAAAATTCATATACCCATTGTCGGAGAGGAACCACACGACGGTGTTGTCGGCGAGGTCGAACGTATCGAGTGTCTGCAGGATGGTGTCGATGGAGTGGTCGAGCTCCAGGAGAGCGTCGCCGAAAATCCCTCGCGCGGATTTTCCACTGAACTCTTCGGAGGAAAACTGGGGATGGTGCACCTGTGAAGGGAACGATGGTTGAGATGCAAGGAGTTTTAGACCTGAATTTTAGACCTGGAAGTTTGTTTATTAGTAAAGTAGGAAATATTCTAAACGTATTTGGCTCAGTATAAAACTTGGTTATGTGCAGAGGTACAAATGACGAGGCGATATGTGAGATTTCAAAGATATTTCAGTTAGCCATGCTTGTCGAATAAGGCTGTAGCTCACGTGCATGAAGGGCATGTAGAGGAAGAATGGAGCGTCGTCTTGGGCGCTATCTTTTAAAAATTGTTTGGCTTTGTCCACAAGTTTTCCAGTGAGAGACTGCAGCTGCATGGGTTGTTCGATGATCGTCGTATTGCTTATAGAATTAAAATAAGTCATAACAATTTTTCAGCAGCCGGTTTCGTACGCTCAAGAGAATTTAGGCAACAAGTAGTTAATTCAGGATTTAGTTTCGTTATTGTCGTGCAAAAAAATTAGAAAGTAACTGTGCAGACCAAAGAAAAAAGTTTCAGCAAAAAATAGAAAAATTAAAACTCAAAATCTATTATAGACGTCTAGTTATGGACTTCTGAGAAATAACTCCTCGTGACGCAGAGTGTATTAAAAAAAATTACACAGCGTTATGGTTTGAATTTTTTTCGAAAAACCGTAGAACAGAAAAATAAATATCCATTGTGATATAAATTGCAGGCTCGACATGCCAGTTATAATTTATTGTGAGATCATAGGGCGGTGCAGGTGCTCATTATATGATGTAAAGCATTGATCGTGTGAATTTACACGGCGAGATGAGAAGTGTTGTTTATCGAATGTTGCAGATGGGGGATACCAATCAAAACTACTATTAATTTTTGAGGAACGGTTGATAGCAAAATTTGGTGTTTCACATCAGGGACATAACGAGGTTTTCCGGACTGTAGGGTAAGCCCCAGGAGATGTACAGGATGTGAGGGAACTTTAGACTTCAAAAACAGCTAACGCACGCAACAACAAACTCATGAATACTGTAAACCTGTTGCATTATCAATGCAACATATACAGACTACATTGTATCAAATTAGTCGGCATTCTTTGGTAAAAATATAAAGAATAATATAATTAAAAGAATAAGCATAAAATTATTATGCAGCTTATGAATATTTTAGGGGGGACGAAAAACCCTCATAAAGTAGGCATAGTGCCGTTGCACTTATTGCACTTTGTGTTGGGGAAAACATGCCACATCTCTCATGGGGTACGGGTCGGAACATTGTGTGTTCCTATCCGTACCTGTACCAACCATTGTGTTGGAACAAATACCTGAATAAAGGACATGATACGTGTGATGTCGAGCACCCGCCTTCACAAGGCTTGTCAGGGAAGCAGGCGTAGCAGGGGCACATGTCGTGGCTGTAGGGAACTCCCAGGTAGTCGTCGAAGCCGTGGTGCGCGGGCAGATATTCTCCTTCGTACCCAACGCCCAGGTGCCATTTGCCGACGATCAGAGTGCGGTATCCCTGAGTAGATGCAATGCATTGTTTCCAGAAAAATTTCCCATCAAGCTTATAATAGAAAAATGCTTAGGTACATTCTAGTGCATAACATAGTTACATTGTAGGACTCGAATTAAAAAAAAAATTTTTAACTTGACAACATGATGAAACTAACTTCTACTTTTCATTCAACGAACTAAGCATGAAGACATGTTCTTTTATAACTCATGAATGGTCTATATCTGAGCAAATAATGGCTGCAGAAAAAAGTCGCACTTTCTTCTTAAGGATTTCCGCAATGGTAGTCTCATTCAGAGGAAGCCCTCGAGGGTTGTCGGCCCCCAGTGCACCGGGGTAGATTCCGGAGCGCACTTGGTACCGCCCCGTCAGGAGAGAAGCTCTGGCATGGAAAACATCTTAACTATATTCTATGAACACTCCAATCGAGTGTAATCTATCGAAAACTTACAGTATCAGTTATTTTCAAGGATATTTGTACTGATAAAACCAAAAATGTATCTAAACGACTTGTTATAACCGGGTGTCAAATCAAGTTCTACAACAAATTCGTATCTTATTACCTGGATGGGCTACACACAGGGCTGGTGACATAAAAATGTGTGAAGATCTTGCTTTGAGAAGCCAAACGGTCGATGGCTGGGGACCGGGAGGTTGGATGGCCAGAAATTCCTAGGTCTCCGTACCCGAGATCATCCACCAAGAAGAGCACCACATTAGGATAAACTGAATTATTTGATCGTCGTTGCGCCTTGTCATTTGATTCTACTTCTAAATTATAGCTTATAAAATTTTTTCTTTCATCACTTACAGTTAGGCTGACACTACCATTGCTCATATTTTCTTTTTCTTTGTATTGTTTTAACTCCACGCTCAAGACAACTAATCTACTGAAACATAAGGAGACCATCAGCAGATGTAGGAGCGACATATCAACGGCGTTTTCCCCGTGTTTTTTTTTTCTAATAAGTTATTATGAATTCCTCTCAACTGATGGTGAACTTAGTCGAGTCAGTTTAATGACGTCTGACTTGATCAGGCTGACACCTGGCAATGATTTTTGCCAAGGCCAGGCAAGGGTTTTGTTGCAGTGATCATCTGATTAGGAGATGACTAACAGAACGTAATCAAATGAGTGACAGAGGGACGACCCCTGCCAGCAGATCCAGAGATAAGGATGAATAATGTCAATAAATTTCATTGCAGACAGCCTCAAATTACTTTTTTACTGTTGTTCGAAGTTTTACTGTTCTCAGTTTACCGTTCTCAGAATCGTGCCTGAAACGATGGTTTCAGACGCTACTTCACTCACGACTCACTTTTCTGATTTCAATCATAATTAAACAACATATATTCTTATAATGAACTCACCAGCCTTCATTCCAGCTTGAGATTGAAAGGAACTCTGCTGAAAATATTCGTTAGTATTTATTTAGCACCAGCCTANAGCGGGCGCTACCGCTACCGCTACACCCACTAGATTGTAGCGAACGCTACCGCTACCGCTACAGTAAAATGTAGCGCCGCTACATTAGCCGCTACAACGGCAAAAATTATTGGAAATCTCTAAATATTTATTGTTCTGCTATTGGAATTTACTCAGAAACATTTAATGATAATAAAACATTTTCAAAACATATCAATGCAACTTTATTGCAATTAACCTAAAAGAACTAGTCCGGGTTAGATAGAGCAAATAAAAGTTACAGTTATTTTTATGTTTAACCTTCCCTACATGGATGTCTACTTTAATCTACCAAAGCTTCCACATATACATATAAAAATCAGTCTTTTATTTGTATATATATGTGGATTATTTTTTGAGATTGGTAGATTAAAGTAGACATCCATGTGAGGAAGGTAAAAGATAAAAATAACTGTGTAAAAATAACTGTAAGCAAACTGAAGCATGGAAAAATACCTGTAAGTGGTAACTGGTAACAACTTAACAAGTAACAAGTAACAACTAACATGTTGACACTATAGTAACAGGCTGAGGTTGACATCATTACACCGAAGTCTTTCGTACAGTTTTATTCTGTAATTTATATTATGTATGTATCATGCTGGTTTTTAAATAATATTTAATACTATTAAATAAAATATAAAGGCTTTATCTATAAATGTAGCGGTAGCGCTGTAGCGGCAAAACCTCGTATCGCAGCTTAAATATGTAGCGGGAGCTACCGCTACCGCTACATTGCTACCGCTACTGAAAATGTAGCGGCCGCTACATGTAGCGCGCTACTGCCCACTTCTGATTATTTGATATTATACTCGAATTAGCTTTTAGTATCGCGTTTCTTGAAAGATTATTGGAGCGAATAGGTAGGGCAGAAATGGAAGAAATTTACAAAGCAATACTCAAAGATTTTAAAAATAGATACCTCCATCAATAGAGTGGCCCAGTAGTTAAAGTTCAGAGTACCAGGATTGGAACAGAGAACGCGGGTTCGATCCCAGATCCATGCGCCAGTTTCTGGTCAGAATCGGCGAGGAGGCCCGGCGGTTAAGCAAAGTAGAATTGTAGCAGTGAGTTGCGAGTTCGAGACCGCAAAATGCTGTGAATGTTCTGTGATGTTAAGAATCGGCGACTAAATGCTGAAACCGCTATTATATTATTATTATTATTATTAATACGGTACTGCAAACGATTTACATTCAACGATTAAAGAAAATAAATGAAGAGACCAGTTTGAATGATAAATGAATGAAAAAAAAACAAGAAATAAAATTAGGTTGCTTAGGTTTTGGAAGCTTTGGTTTTGGAAATGGAATGGTGGGAATGATCTGAGCAACGAGTCATCAAATGAACTGAGTTCTTTTTATTGCCAAAAGAGAGCAACATAAAGTCCATCATGCATAAATACGTATTCTAGGTTTTAATATTTCGAAAATATAAAAATTCGATACCCACGTATAATTCATTTTTAACTAAGGAAAGTTAGGTCAACGATTGCATTATCGTTAAACGAATGTCACTTATGAAATTAAATGCAGTTTAAAAATAGCATTTTCTGTATTAGTTCGTTGAAGCATTTTTCATTTTGTTGAACTGTTGAAAGGATAGCGAAACAGGAAAATAGCTTACATCACATCTAATATATTTAGCAAAACAGACACAAATTAAGGAAATAACACAAAAGAGAAGTTTTTTGGGGAAACCCGGGAAAGGTAATGAAGAAATGGTGCCTTTGATAACTAAATCATTCGTACGCACATCATACACTTTCATCTTTGGAAAACAATTTTGGTGGTAAAAATGAGCCCGACTGGCTGTCATTAAAACAGATTATTCACATCTCAGTACGTGAAGGTGTCACCCACAGTCTCGTCTTCTAAAAAAGTCAGGCTACTTCATTTGCCTTCATCAATTATTTCATGAATACGACCAGAAAATTTCTCCATCATTTGTCTGGGCAGTCGCAACACGAGGGATATGGATTGCAGAGACGGTCGGTGCAGCATGGTTGTGATCGTTCTTCGTGGTCCTGCGTGGCTGAAGTCATCCAAGTCATGTCAGCCATGTGCTGAGTGCGCCACGCAGTCAAATTCATCAATAAAGATCTGAAAACGTATCTTCTGTTTATCTGATCAAAAATTTTCCTGAATTGATACCATTCAAAACAGTGAGCTCACCAGTAGAATAAAATTTATGTACACCTATATCAAAATGTTTGTAAGAAGATCATTAATTACAGGATCTACCTATCGAATATCTCGAACAATCCCGTGTTATCTTGTTGCTGCAACATTCAAGTCAAATTTCATCGATCATTTGCCGCAACAACATTTAAAAGTCTGAGGCGTCGAAGCCGTCGAGCTTGAGGCCGCTGGTGTCAGCGCCGGTGAGCGCAGCGATGGTCGGCAGAACTTCTAGCGAGCTCAGCAACTCGTTCGTACGACCTTAATCAGATCAGATTTATGGAAAACAATATTTTCACAAGAAGTTTAATGGGGAACACTATACTTCAGGAAAAAATTGGGCAGGTTTAAGTAAAAAGCTTTAAGCTAGGCGTAAGTTAACATGGCAACCGCAACTAACTGGGAACGATGTGCCCCGGCCACCTGACGAAGGCGGGAACCCTCACGCCGCCTTCCCACGTCGTGCCCTTGCCGCACCGCAGCGCTCCTGCGCAGCCTCCTCGTTCCCGACGCAGCAAACTCGGCCTAAAATAAAACATTAATTAATTCGAAATGGATTGAGCAAATTACAAACTACACGAAAAATGAACCATTTATTATCAATTTAATAAGCATAATAATCATAAAATATATATATCTGATATATTTTGATTAAGATGACGGGTCCATAACCTTTCTTAACAAGACTCACATTTCGTCCATGGATGATTTCTAAACGATATTTTAATCTAATGCAAGTCCCAACAATTGATACTACAAAGAAACTTTATCGGCAACTCAAATAACACTACCCTATAAGCACACCCATTGTCAGAGAGGAACCACACGACGGTGTTGTCGGCGAGGTCGAGCGCGTCGAGTGTCTGCAGGATGGTGTCGATGGAGTGGTCGAGCTCCAGGAGAGCGTCGCCGAAAATCCCTCGCGCGGATTCCTCATCAATCTCCGCTGAAGAAAATTGGGGATGGTGCACCTGAAAACAATGAAAGTTAAACTAACAATGACTAAAAGGAGGACTGAGGTTGTATAACTGAGGTTTAGGGGCTAAGATGCTCATTTACAGAACAAATGACGCGATAAAAAATGTAACGCACGTGCATAAAGGGCATGTAGAGGAAGAATGAAGTGCCGTCTCTGGCGTTGGATTCCAAAAATTGCGTGGCTTTTGATAAAAGTTTGCCAGCAAGAGAAGGCAGTGGCGTGGGCTGTTCCATGATCGTTGTGTTGCTGGGAAAATTTAGAGAAAAAACTGATGTAGTCCCTCAACTAAATCAGGTGCCAGAGAAAAAATCATAGGACACATTTTTAAGTATGGCTGGGCAAATTGATATTGTCCCTTGTCCATTCCACTTATAAAAAAGCTACGAAATATTCAACAATTAGAACAATATCACCCCTTACTTCGTTAATCACAAGTTTAAAAGAGTGCACCTACATATATAGAGGACACGATACGTGTCCACTCCAGCACATATCGTAACAAGGCTTGTCAGGGAAGCAGACGTAGCAGGGGCACATGTCGTGGCTGTAGGGAACTCCCAGGTAGTCGTCGAAGCCGTGGTGCGCGGGCAGAT